AAAATATTTCACAGGAGTGTATTTTTTTTTAGTGCTCCACCCCAAAATCCCAGTTTTTTCCATTGGAAAAGTGGAAGAGAAACCTTCTACTCCATCATGTCAGCTCTTCCCCTGTGAATTTTTTTTTCTGGCCTGTCTGCATATTTCTGAAAAGGGAGCTTTTTACATGGCAGAGCACTCTAAAATGTGACATCCCATAATTTAAAGAGATGCAGTTCAGACATTTACCACCTCAACAGCTTCTAGAATCGTCCCCATTACTTTGACCTAAGCGGTTCTCCTAAGCAGTTATAACCCCTTCTAATCAGATTGACTTCAGTGGACTTAGCAGGGTGTATAACTCTTTAAGGTTGTGCTGTGGTCTGGTTTTTAAAACTTAGCCTACTAGAGGGCAAAGGGGCCACTTTGCCTATCTCCAGAATAACCCAGCTGAGGGAGCAAGGGAAAAAAAATGCATTTTTATGGATTAAGGGAATCAGCAACATAAAAGGAAATCATACAGAACATGTGAAATTACTCGTTACTCAACAAAGGTTCATTGTAGAAGGGAGCAAAAGGTTGAAAGATGCTTTAGGCTTCAAATTATCTTGGGGAGAGGATCATAACAAAATAGGGTTGTGAGATGGGGAGGGGGGCCCTGCAACCAGTGTTCCATCTAAGCTGTGCACATGAGCGGCCGCTCACTAAAACAGGAAGCCCTGCTCAGCAGTAATCTGGAGCCGTGCAGGGCCTTGCACTGCCCGTTGCCCATTTGAAGATTACAGCAGTTATATTCAGTTCAGGATGTGAACTGCTCCGCTTAGGGGGGGGGGGGGGAATCAGAGGGAACATTGGCTGCAACGCTGGCTATGGTGCTATGTCACCTCCAGTAAAAACCTCGAAGTGGCATAGGGTACCTCTAGGAATAGGCAATAACTCTATGGTAAAAGTTTCCAGTGATACCTAGAACTGTCCTAAATGACATAGCAGCACACATGATGCTGCCTTTAAAAAAATTCTCCCACTGCCACTCTGAGAGGAGGAGGAGGAGAAGGAGAAGAAGAAGAGGAGGAGGGGGAAATTGGATTTATATGTAGGTTCAGGATGGTCAAAAGGAAATATTATACAGAGTGATTAAAATGTGGAATTGGCTGCCAGAGGATGTAGTGATGGTCACTCAATCTCCTTTCCTTCTCCCTTCCCACAACTGACACCCTGTGAGTGAGGTAGGTGGGGCTGAGAGAGCTCTTTCAAGGACTGCTCTTGAGAGAACACCTCTGAGAGAAGTTATGACTGACCCAAGGTCCCACCAGCAGCTGCATGTGGAGGCGTGGGCAATCAAAACCTGGTTCTCTCAGATTAGAGTCCGTGCTCCTAACCGCTGCACCAAACTGTCTCTCAGGCAACAGGAGCTGGGGGGGGGCAGGGAATCTCCCACATTGGGCTTAGCAAGCCCTATAACAAAAGGCCACACCTGCTTTTACAGGCTACTGTCCTTGTTCCTAGGGCACGTTGCAAGAACATTGTTCTGTTATTGAGTAACAGGCTGTCCTCTGAGACAACAACAGACCTGCACAACTTACAACCCAGCAAGCCAAGCATGGCCCACCAGCCCTGTACAGACTCTCCGTTCTTGTATGGGACTGCCAAGACAGGCACGGGACAGGCCCTGACGACATTGGTGGCAGGTCATGAACTGGGCAGGGCTGAAGGGATTCCACCGAACAACGTTTTTACTGACAACCTGAGACAGGATTTCCTGTATTCTAGCTAGGGTTGCCAAGTGTCACTTACCTCTTCCGCGAGGGAGTCCCAGGTGGCTCCCGGAGCGTGCGCGCGCCGCATGCACATCACCAGGAAGTGACGTTATGATGCCGGGCACGCTGGGGGCGGGGCCACAACCATACAAGGGAAAACCATAGAGTTTTCCCTTGTATGGCTGTGGCCCCACCCCCGGCATGCCCGGTGTGCCCGCGCACGTCGGGGAGGAGTTCCCCCCGGGGCCCGATCTGGCGCCGCCGGGGAACAGGCCTCTGGGGCGGGGGTTTCCCCGCCCCCTGGGGGGACCTGTGATCCCTAATTCTAGCAGCCCTTCTGTGGTAGCTGTGGACTTCTTATTACATCATGGTTGCAATATGGGAAAGCCACGTAAGACAGAGTAAGGCTTTTGCGTGGCTGTTCTTCTCCCAAGGCTCGTACATAAGTACGGACTAAATCTCTCTTCCTTCCATAAAGGCTCTGCAGGATAGTTTAGGAGGCATTTCCAGCCTAGTCAAAATGTCCCTCTCTCACACCACATACACCTGCGTATAGATCTGAGACACAGCCCAATAGGATGACATTATCTTTGAGCCCATGTGACTTCCTAGCAAGTGAGGCATGCATGATGGCTCCATTTTCAGTGAATAAAATTGTGCATTCTAGAGTTAAGAGACAACATGTGGCTTAGGTAAAGGTTCCCAACTGCCTAGGCAAGTGAGATATTTTGGAAGCAATGTTGGGGAGAAAGGAGTTGGGGGGGAGGATGTGATGTCATTTTGGGTAATTGTCCAGGAATTTCCCTAATCTCTGTGGTAAAGATCATAGAGACTAGGGGAAATCCCTAGAATGTCAATTATGGGGGCCATTTTTCTCCTGCTTCTCAGTTTTTTGAGGTCTGGGGACTGGGGCCAGGAGTCAGGGAATTCTCTCCTGGGTCTGGGCAATTAGGAACCGCAGACATAGGCCTGTTTCACATTTCAAAATCATACACAGTTGCTGTCAGAGCATCAAAACCTATGGGAAGCTTTTCCTGCAAATAAGTTTGCAGATACACCAATGGAACTGGCACAGAGTCTCCTGCAAAGCAGAAGCTCCACCATTAAGCCAAAGCTCCTCCCCGTCACATGAAACTACCTTATACCGAGTCAGACCATTGGTCTATCAAGTTCAGTATTGTGTACTCTGAATGGAAGCAGCTCTCCAGGGTCTCAGACACAGGTCTTTCACATTGCCTACTATCTGATCTTTTTTTCTCCCCCCCCCCCCATTTCTTTTTAATTAACTGGAGATGCCTGGGATTAAACCTGGGATCTTCTACACGCATGACAAACACCAAGCTTCTTAAGAGAAACATGAAAAGGCAGATTCTTGGTGACAATCCTGCACGTAGCTTAATGTGCATAATGCACAAGACAAGCCTTAAGTAAGACCAGGCAGAAGGCATATCTACGGGTTGCTCATCCATAATTTTAAAAATGTGATTTAAGTGGACTGCAGTGGCTATTCAACACTCATCGCCAGCGATCCTCCAAAATGTATGCCATTCAGAACCGTGTCCAAATGTCTGACACCACCCCTGTGTTTACAGGCCCAGACAAACGGCAAAAAAGGAAATGTACTGAGCCTCTGATGGGTCACCATATATGGCTGGTGGAATGCCTTTCGCTTGTGGAGTCAAAGAGCTGGGAAAATCTAGGCCACAAGTTGCTGATGCTAGGGCTCGGAGGGTTCTCTGTTAATACTTGGAGATGCATTCTCTTTTCTATCGGAAAAGGAAACCGGGGGCGGCGGCCCCTAAGCAAGGATATCGTTTGAGGGAAAGAAAAGATAAAAAATGAGATGCTAATATTTTCTGAAGTCTGTTTTTGTTTGTTAATAATATATAAGCATTCTTTTGTATTGTTCTTTAAGAAGTCAGAAGTCCTGGACTTGAAGCATATAAGCGGATTTAATGATCACATTTAATGTAACCAAATATCTTTTATTTTGACTATAAGCTTTGCATTGTAACCATTATATGACCACCACCTCTTGGGTTCTTAGTGGTTTTTCTTTACTTTCTCCTGTAGTTTGTAGTCCCCTGTCCCTATTTTCTTGTAGTGTTTTAGAAAATTTAAAAAAAATCAAAAAAAGGAAAAGGAAACCGGGAAGCCAGACACAATTCTAACCCTGCAATTCCAGCACATCTCAACACCATCACAAGGGCTGGTCATGACAGAGGTAAATAAAACTCAATTAACCTGCTTCCCCAGAAATTTCGGGCAGACAACATCAACATCATATAATGCACAATAAAATACTTCATACCTGGAGTTGAAAAAACGAAAAGTGTTAACTGCTGACCTGGCACAGCCCCACATGCTCTCTCTGGAAATTGAACACAGACAATTAGGAATTTTAAGACACCCCGAAGAACTGCATGGGGGCGCGTGCAGACAACAGGGAACAAAATGTGCAATAACACTCAAGCGCACAACCTACATCTGTGGGTGGATTTATTTCTCAGCCTGAAATCCTTTCCCACTAGCCATTAAACATCTATAGGCAAATTCATATATGAATGAACCGGGTCTGTCACTGAATTATAAAGAATTTTAAGGATTTTTTAAAAAGGGTATCCTTGGGAATTTCCTATCAAAATGCACCGATTTGACATTTCCTTAATTATACATGAATGCCTGAAGCTGCCTTATACTGAATAAGACCCGTGGTCCATCAAAGTTAGTATTGTCTACTCAGACTGGCAGCAGCTCTCCAGGGTCTCAGGCAGACAGGTCTTTCACAGCACCCAGGGCCTGCTCCCTTTAGCTGGAGATGTCGTGGATTGAACCTGGGACCTTCTGCATGCCAAGCAGATGCTCTTCCACTGAGCCACGTCCCCTCCCCAGAACAAAGGTGTGTCATCGTGGGGCTGCACACTGGGAAGTGTCCTCCTATTTGTTTTTTCATCCATACCATGCCTTTCTCCCCAGTGCGGCGTACATCATTCTCCTCTCCTCCATTTTACCTTCACAACAGCCCTATGAGGTTCACATGAAACTGCCTTATACTGAATCAGACTCCTGGTCCATCAAAGTCAGTATTGTCTACTCAGACTGCCAATGGCTCTCCAGGGTCTCAGACAGAGGTCTTTCACATCACCTACCATCAGATCTTTTAACTGGAGACACCGGGGATTGAACCTGGGACACTCTGTATGCCAAGCAGATGCTCTGCCACTGACCCACAGCCCCTCCCATTGGTTTTAGACTCAAAAATCAGCAACCATGCGAGGATCAGCATTACACCGCACAGAGTCTTCCCCAGGGCTCTTTTTGTCGAAAAAGCCCAGCAGGAACTCATTAGCATAACAGGCCACACCCAACAGCAGAAACTCATTAGCATATTAGGCCACACCCCTGACAGCACAGCTCATTGGCACATTAGGCCACACCCCCATGTCACCAGAAGTGTGGTTATCCAGCCACACCCGCCTTTTGCTTGTTATTCTGTTTACCTTGTTTGTTGTCAAAACCCAGGGCTTTTTTTGTAGCAGGAACTCCTTTGCATATTAGGCCACACACCCCTAATGTAGCCAATCCTAATGAGTTTCTGCTGTTGGGTGTGGCCTATTATGCTAATGAGTTCCTGCTGGGCGTGGCCAACTTGGGAGGCAGCCGGAACTCCGTTCCTGTGCGTTCCTGCCCAAAAATAGCCCTGGTTCCCAATTCCATTTTCCTATCTTGCTCTCCCCTTCTAACCCACAGGAATTTACTTAAAACTTAGAAAGTCTAAGGAAATTCAATGACCTGGGTAGGGAACTAGAGGATACATGGGAAAGCGGGTCACACGGCAGCTTCCACTCTGGGTGGTGGCCAGCAAAGGGTAGCACATGCCTACCAAGGGTGCTTTTGGCAAGGGTTCGTATCCCATGTTTTAACTGATTTGTATGTTTCGTAGTGCGCGTACAGAAATTCATGAATTCAGAATTTCAGTAGTCCTGCCAAATGGTCAGAGGGTTGGAACAAGTCACTGCAATTGAAGCAAAGCTCAGGGGGGGGGGGTTCCTCTCTTTCTCCTTCCTGCTACAGCCCAGAGAGCTTCCCCTTCATTCTGCTCGGGGGCGGGGGTTCAAGGCACCCTCAAGAACAACGCACATCTGCAGTGGAGGGTGAAATTGGCATAAATTGTACCTCCCCTGCCAACCGAAGTGCCTTTACATGGGTGTAGCTGCACCCTTGGATCCAATTCGGAGACAGAAAAATGCAATGGTAGATACTCTGCAGCAGCAGAAAAGAGTAAGAGTCCAGTAGCACCTTAAAGACTAATAAATACAACCTGTGGCAGGGTAGGAGTTTTCGTGAGTCACTGCTCACTTCTTCAGATACAGCCAGAATGAATGAATGAAGTGAGCAGTGACTCGCAAAAACTCCTAGCCTGCCACAGGTTGTATTTATTAGTCTTTAAGGTGCTGCTGGACTCTTGCTCTTTTCTAGGGCTACGGCAGGGCTACCTGTCTTGATCTAGACACTTTGTAAACAGTAAAATGGAAGGAACTAAGAGAAATTTGACTACTAAACTTTCAGCACACCCACTCAAAATGCTAGGAGTCAAATATTTTGATTTAAAACTTCAGCGTAGTGCTTTGGTAGAGAATAAAACAAATACAGGGTACATAATTTAACAGTCATTGACATTTCAGCCTGGTACCTTTATGCTTATACAACCTCCCTCGGTCTTAACGTGCAATGTAAGAAACACCCTTGCAAGACTTTTGATCAGCTACATACACAGTTGGAAAAGGAGAGTCACGTAATGGCTTGAAGCTACACCACTTTAAAAACACACACACACAAGCTGTGTATATCTACAGAATCTTACTTCTACTTGCAATATTCCGTGACATTTTTTTCTGAAGGAAACACCCAATGATCCATTAGTCCAAACGAGTAATTCAACTGTACTGGAAGCTTGACCTATCAGGGCTTGAGTATTCTCACCACAGTCTAAATTTTAATCTTCTGCAAAATGAACAGTTCAAAAGGGTCGAAATCTGGTTATCGCTATTTTGCAGTCTAACTTGGAAGTAAACCACACTGCACTCTGTGGGATTCTTATCTCAGTCTGTATTTCCCACTTCCCTGACCACATGTTTCTTTTTGCGTTTAAAAATAAGAAGCGGAGTTCACTCTTAACACCCTGAAAAGTTCACGTTTAAAGGGCAAAAGAATAAGAGCGTTACCTGCTCTTGTTAAAACCAACCCTGTTTAAATATGATTACAGCTCTCAATGTGCCTCATGATTGGAAGGAGGCAAGTCCAGAACAGTACTCAGGCAGAGTCATAACAGACAGCCTCCTTTTGTGGGTGGGCAATTTTGCTTGGTGTCCGTATCAGGAGGGAAGTGCGTGATGAAAAGATCCACTCGCACCTGATGGAGACATGGAACAAAATTACCTGCTTCCTAAAGAAGTTGATTAGAAGCAGTTGGCAATCAGAGAGGCAACAGGCCACCTCTTCTGTGGATGGGTTTTTTTTGGACTTTCAGGAGTCTTTAATTATTCCGTTCATTACTGGCAGCTTTTTGTTAAGTAAACACGCATAGGACTGAGCAGCACAGTTGTATTCAGCCTGTGCACAAATTCTCTTCAAAGGGGCAGGGAGTGACCAGGGCCAGGGAAATGGATGTCACCAGTGTTCCCTCTAAGCTGAGTTAGTGTGAGCTAGCTCACAGCTTTTTAGCCTCTGGCTCACACATTTTTGTCTTGGCTCAGGAAGGCTGGCTCCGGAGCAAACTAACTTATGCAGTAGCCAAATCGCTCGCTCACAACTTTTGCTCACAGGGCTCCACAGCTTAGAGGGAGCATCGGATGTCACCCCCTTTTAGCCACAGGGGAAAGGCAGAACATAAATATCCTGATAAATCAATAAAATACATAGCTGCCCTGACCTCTTTGGAGGCCGAGTATTCTGTGTCTCTCTCTCTCTCTGTATAATGCAGCCAACTTGAGGTAACCCCATAGAGTTACCTTTTCAGAGGTGGTTTGCGGTCGCCTGCCTCTGTGTAGCAACCCGGGACTTCCTTGGAAAGCCAGTTTGGTGTAGTGGTTAGGTGCACGGACTCTAATCTGGGAGAACCGGGTTTGATTCCCCACTCCTCCACTTGCAGCTGGCTGGCTGGCCTTGGGCAAGCCGTAGTTCTGACAAGAGCTGTTCTTGAAAAAGGGACATTTCTGTCAGAGCTCTCTCAGCCCCACCTGCCTCACAGGGGGTCTGTTGTGGGGAGGGGAAGGGGAAGGAGTTTGTAAGCCGCTCTGAGACTCCCTTGGGTAGTGAAGGGCGGGGTATAAATCCAATCTCTTCTTCTTCTCGGCGGCCACCCATTCAGATACTAACCAGGGCTGGCCCTGCTTAGCTTCCGAGATCTGGTGAGATCCGGCCACCCAGGTCAGAGGCCAAGCTAGTATAAAAGAAGCAACCGTGGCAGGGAGACACCCAACTGGAGCTCGCTTCTGCAATCACAAAGATATGCCAGCAGTGTGGACGGGGCTCAGCTTGTGTGCAGCAGCCCAACCATGTTACCGTCGGGCTTCTATCCGGGTGCAGAGGAGGCCATCCCCTCTGCTACAGCGTTCGCTTCCTCGGCCGGAAGCAATTCCAGCTGCGTGTCTTTCACAGAGGCTTTGTGAGAGCAGAGGTGCTGGCGGAGGAAGCGAGCATTGCAGCCGAGGACACCCTCTGCAGCAGTCGGAAAGAAGCGGGAGGGGGGACGAGGCCACAGGATCCAAGCCGCTGTGTTTGGCCAAGTACCGCTGTTGCCTCCCTCCCTCCATCCATTTTGTTTGCCAGCACCTTTATGGGTAGACGCAGCGCTTGTCTGGTATTCAGGCCTCTGTCCTGCGTATGGCATCATCTGGATTTGCTGGAACCAATGCAAACGAAGGAGGTGTGTCCAGGGGTCATTTCCAGCGGGAGCACACAGGAACGGTGCTCCGGCAGTAAGGAGCCCAGGGGGCCGGCACATGCAACGAGCCCCACCCCCTGCTCCCAGCAGTTCTCAGTTGGGCCACGAGGAGCAAGCAGCAGCCAGGTATGTTGCAGAGCCCCCCCTCCCAGCCCGCCTTCAGGTACAAGCTCTCCCTCCTCTGTGAGGACAGATCTGCATGTTCCCCCCCCCCAACAGCTAGCAATCCAAAACAGTCCAGTGGCACCTTTAAGACCAAGTTTTATTCAGGTACAAGCTCTCCTCCTCTGCGAGGACAGATCTGCATGTTCCC